CCCCTCCCCACCCACTGGCACGGGTGCCTCTGAGGCATGACTTCTCAGGTGCTCCCTCCCTTTCTTCCCTGGCATTTTGGCCAATGAGGCAGGCTTCTGTCAAGAGCCCCACCAAAGCCTGCAGAGCCATCTGGGAGCGTCAGCCCACGCAGCAACGCTCCACGGCAGCCCCCATCGTCCCTCCTCTGCTGCTACCTTCAGACGGGCGTTCTGCCCGTGCAGACGTTCCAACAAAGACAATTCTGCTGGGGAAGATGGGCTGCTGCCTCTTCTGTCTCTGGCACAGCCTTGAGCAGGCTGAGAGCACTTAAGGGGAACAATGTGCCCGACGCAAACGAGGGCATTAAAGCGCCTCCACCACTAATAGCTGCTTGTTCTCAGCACCACGCGAGCCGAAGAGCCGTCTCAGCCTCATTTTCAAGAACGGGGACCGGAGAGGGAGATCAAGGGCTTTCTCAGACTGGCATGAGGATCTATTGTGGCTAATTGAGGAACGAAGGCAAGCTCTCCAAGTCTGTCGTTTCCATGCCTGAGTTAAACGGCAGGCCCCCACATGGCTCTCCTTTACCCACAAGAACTATTGTAATTCCGTGCCCTTTAGGCAGAGGCCACCCACAACGCAACGGGAGGGCAAAGGACCCCCTCCAGGGTCAGGCAGCGGTCCTGTCCGAAGGCTTCAGAAGGCTGAGCCCCGCAACCAACACAATGAGAAGGAAACAGCACGCTCGGGAGAGAGTTGGTTTGGCTGGCCCAAGTCCTCCGGCGTGCCCAGGCCAGATTTATTTCGTGCCCTGGACGAAAGCAGCGGCCCCCCCTCGACCCTGGCCTTTCGGCTCCCACCAGAGGAGCCCAACCCCCTGTGCTCTCTTGCACAGGTTGGAATTAGTGGGACTGGCTCCCCGCTCAAGGCCTCAGCAGCTAAATCTTTACAGCTGGCCACGGGAGGATCGGGCGTCACATGTCGCCTCTCAACCGCAGAATAGCTCGACTCACACACTACACCAGACTAGTCAGCATCTTCGCATGTGCTGTGAACCAGCCCCTCACAATGGACAGAACCGAATGGGAATTTACCGCTGTTCTTGGGGAAGGCGTGAAAGAGCCCTTCAGGAGGGACTTGGAGGAGTAATTACACAGTCCAGAGACTGAAGCAAGCATAGGAAGAAACTCAAAATAACCCCACCTTGATTTTGTGTGTTATTAAGCTGGGCGGGGGGGGGGGGGG